GCTAACCGTAAACAGGCTAACCGGAGAGCTATTTAGGCTAACCGGAGTGCTATTCAGGGTAACTGGAGTGCTTTTTAGGCTGACAGGAGTGCTTTTTAGGTTAACCAGAGTGCTTTTTAGGCTAACCAGAGTGATTTTTAGGCTAACCGGAGTGCTATTCAAACGTTTTGACTGCCAGTTGTTTTATAATAGTCTACGTTATAAATCCCGATATACCGAGTGCCAGGCTAACCGAAATTAGTATTCAGCAATATAAACAAAGATTTGACATTATTAACTGAAATTTTAAAAAAATTATTTTGACTGCCGGACACGGAGTACTTTGAAAACCCTGTCCGGCTGCCGGACATAGAGACACAGCGAACCAAATAAGACAAATTAAAGGATGATCATACACAACAACCTTCACAAGAATTCACTAATACATTTCTATTAAAAATTAAAAAAATAACTATATCGGAAGCAAAACAAACAGTTAGATTACAAAATCAACCAGAGCTGAAGTCTTTGATAAGATTGATACTCACGGGAAAATTCCTCCGGATAGATTGAATTTAGAGCTTCTAGTTCAAGCTCTTGCTCCTCTTTGTGGTCTGTCATGACATTAAATTAATTTGCAAATCCTCTCTAGTCCAAATAACGTGTATAATATTCAAACCATTTCACATGTTCAGATGGCAAAAAAAATATCTTTACTATTGAAAATTGTCCGCCATGTTGATTTTTTGGCGACATGTGCAGACCTCGTTTTCACGTTGTCACGATTTCTTACTGGGAGTGACAGCCCGACACAATTATTCTGACAGTCCATAGAAAATGGTATTTCACACAATGCGATAAACTTTATCCCCTGTTCTTCAGAAAAAAAAACTTCAAGCAGAAAATCAAATAATACGCACTAGTGCTTTTAATTGTCTGACTTTCAAAAGAAAAATTAACTGAATTGCTGTATTTCATTTACTTACCGGACCCCGGGAAGTGATTTCTTGTCATGTGTTTCCCATCTTGCCTTGCAGGAAGTAATGCAGTTGCATATGGCGATTTTTGTTATGACATGACAGGCGAATTTCGATTCTAAACTAGCTGAATTTTCATACTAACTATGGCGGAAAATGAAGAAGGTAATGGTCAGAATCACGCTTAAACCTTCCTGCATATGTTGAGCTTATTTATTTCTGCATTTGTTGCAGGGAGCAAGAGAAAAATCGAAGAAGAAGTGGACGCCACACAGGCTGCACCAAAGCGAGTAAGCACGCCTTCCGTCTTTCGATTCTTTTTACAATCTGCGCAGGAGTTTCCGAATTAATTTTGGGGCGGATTGTATGCAAAAAAGTTTTAAAGAAATTTGTTTTCCAGGTACGACTTCAATCGCAAGATCTGACGGACTTGTCGAAGGAGGACATTGTGGAAAGGTTAGTATCTTCATGACAGCTAAGATTGATCAGTTTTGCTCTTACGCGGAACTTTACCATGCTTTCACTTACAATTTGTTCCGTTAATTAACCGATCCTTGAGCCTTTCTTTATAGCTTTACTTTTATTTCAGTCACGAACGTAGTTTAGAAAGGCTATGATTGATACACGTATTGCAGATATAGATCAGGCTGGTGAATTTACAACTGATAACGGTCGCAAATGATACTGGAGAAGCAATCTGGACTTCTTTATAATTTTAAATTTTAGAGTTTGACGTCAAGTTATGTTCATAATTTGCGGCGAGAAAATTGGTGACTTCCAAATTCATTAGCTATTTATTTAGTAAAAGGAACGAAAAAAAAATGGTGAGAGCTAAGCCGCGAAAGTTACATCTTGGCCGTGAAAGTAATGCATAAGACAGACTTACATTGTATGACATGGGGAATCTTACTAAGTTTACATACAAAGCAGTGGTGGTGGTGTTTTATAAATCATGCTGTATTTTTGTTTATCAAAATGGAAAGCCATTGGCCCAGTCTAAACACAAGGGAAAAGTTAAAATGTACATTATTAGACAGTTTTAAGGTTACTGTATACCTCTGAATAGTTTCTATTTGCATAAGCCAAACAATGACCAATCACAGACACTTTCCAGATATCTGCACAGCTATAGCGTCACTATTAGGTGTCTTACATCCAGGCAATGGAGTAGGTCCTGTTTAAATTATAGATACCTAAACCCCGATATCAAATTAAAGCTTTTAGAGCTGGCTATCAAACTATGCCAAGAATTTTGAAATAAGATGAATTGCTAAATTTTTTTTACGACCTCTAAACATGAGCGTCGGAATCACCTTTTGAAAGCCACAAGTCGTAGCAAATTTTGTTTTTTTGCTTATTTAATTTGTTACTCAGTTTTCGGACCCAAAGCACTAAAAAATGGTTTGTCTGCAATTTGCCATATTCAATTTCATTAAAAAGTTACACAACGTTGTCGAAATACAGTGCAGCTCAGATATATCCGAACCAAAATATACGCGTAATTCGCATCAGCCCAATACGCACATATGCATATACAGTATATA